GAAAAACAATCATAATAACCCATTTTTTATGAAACCCAAGGCGACAAAAATAAGAAAAATAATATATTGAGAAACAGAAGAAAATGAAATGAACATTACATTTATTAATGTAGAACAGAAGAACATTACATTTGCATGTAGAACAGAAGAAAATGTCAAATTTACATTTTTACATAAAAACCATTTATAAAAAAAAATAAAAGAAGAATAAATATGCATGGACGGATTTTTGATATAAAATATCAAATGTTAAAACAGCTTAAGGTGTCATTTAAGATTAAATGACAAATAGGTTAAACGTTTCAGGATTGTGACACTATTTAGGTTTGCACTAAAAGAAAGAAAAAAAAAAGGCGAGAATTAAATTTAGGTGATAAGAAGCCATCACGAAAAGGACACTAAGCGATGTTATTTTTTTTTCTAACAAAGGAAAAGTGGAAAAGATTTTATTTTCATTGTCGAGAAAGTAAGGTCACGGAATGTATTTTTGATTTATGACGGGGCACCGAATAAACGACAGCAGTCTGCCCATGGCAAATAATGAAAATTTCAGGTTGGTCAAGTGGCCTACGAAACAGAATTCTAAAGAGATAATAAAAATTAACTGGGTCACTGAGAAAAATGTCTGTTGTGGACCAACCGCAGAATTAAAAAAAACAAAAGATTAAACCATTAACTATCTACGAAGATGTCGTTTGGGAAAAGACATCTGTTTTATTGTCAGAGCTGGCCATGATAAAAATTATTTTATCAGAACGAATAATTGGCGCCAGAATGTGGATTTCGCCGGATGACCACCCACTTTGTTTGGCGAAGGTCTCGATTGACGAATTCCAGGTGACATTCGGTTAAAATTGAGATTAAAGACCACACTTGTGGTCTAAGGATTTGTTGAAAGAGAAAGAAAAAAAAAAAAAAAAAAAAAGAAGATAATTTTTTTTTTCTTTGAGCAAGATTTTTTAAACCGAGGCTAGTCTGACCACACCCACACTGCTGGGCGTCCATTGGCTGAATGGTGGCGTGAGCGGTAGGCGAAGGTAATCATGTGAAGAAGGAGGGGAGGCCTGTTGACGCTCCCTGAAGGGATCGGTGTGAGATGCCACTGTGAGAGAGAGGGGAAACCCGTTGACACCCTCTGAGGGTATGGGTGAGATACCAATATGAGAACAGAAGAAGGTGGGAGGAAAAGACTTCAAAAATGGAAAATAATAAATTTTCCTGACCGAAAAAAAAAAAGAAGTGGATTGTGGATTTAGAATTATCAAGGAACCTCAAACCCCGACAAGCCCACCCCGGTTTTGGTCGGCGTCCATATAAGCAGAGTCGCAGCGAGTTGAAAAAGCAGTTCAGTTCAGTTGAGTTCCAGTTGAGTTCGCAGTTTGACAGTTGAGTTGAATTGAGTTGAGACCCGCCTCGCAGGAACCTGACTGAAAGATTCCACGCAAATTTCGACCTCAACTTCTAACCAAGAACAATTTTTTTTGAAGAACGACTTAGACTCACACCACCAAAACAAGTTTTACGAATATCGCCTGAAGATACACCAAAAACCAGTTTCTTAAAGAACAAACAACTTAAGATGTTAAGACTCGCCTAACAAACACAAAGTGTCACGAATCCATATAGCGGTTTGGGAAGAAAGACGCAGTCCTGTATTCAGCAACCAGATATAAAATAATTTTATTCTTTTTTTTAACAGATTTGAAATTTAGAGTTCTTATTTTATTTTCTTTTACATATACTTGTGCGGTATTACCCTTGTTCGGACTCAAATTGCATTGCGGTCCGGCGACTGATTAATTTCGTCTACCTAAGATCAAATCACAACGTGGGGAGCTTAAACTAGAAATCAAAGGAGTTACTTCCGTAACCAGACGTTGGAGGCGAGCTGGGTAAGACAAGGCTGATACCGAATCTAACCAGATTCCCATCCGAATCAGCAAAAGGTTAGAACGTCACATTTGGTGCCGCGACCAATACCAAGTCACATTGGTCGTCACAGGACAGGATAGGACGACGACGGCGCGGAGACAGACAGGGTGACGTCACATTTGGCGCCGCGACCAGGACACACGACGGGCGCGGCCAGGCAGACGTCACATTTGGCGCAGCGTTGGGGGACGTCACAATCAACGAATATCAGGATAAAAAATATCTAAAATAAATTTATATGAAGTAATGCATTACCTCATCTGGAGAGATATGAGGTAATATCGTTGTGAAATGGCAATGAAGATGAGGATAACAGTGCGAATAACTAAATAATGAATAAATCAATTAATACCTCATCTCAGAAATTTAGATAAATTATAGTGCTTCATTTTTTTAAATTACTTATAAAAAAAAAAAAAAAATAAATTTTTGAATCATAAAATTGAGAAGAATTTTTTGAGAATTTGTTTTGTATTTCCTCTTTTTATTTTTTCTTGGGAACGACAAAGGCATTTTTGTACATAAACATTGTAAAGTTTTGAAGTTAAATATTGAACCGATCTGAAGATTCTTTTATAAATTTTTTTTCCAGGTGTTAAAAATTTCTTGTCTTTCATTTGTTCTTTATTCTCAATCGTTTGGATAAAATTGTTAACTGAGTTACATGTTAAAGTAATAAAATGAGTTCTTCTTTGAAATGTAAAAAAAAAAATTTTGGAAGAAAGGAATTTAAAAGAATGGAACCATTACCTATCTCCTTCAGCCTTTCAACGTGGAATGTTTCCTTACATTCAAATTATGAATCTAATTTGATGCTGATAAATATAATTTTAGTGGAAATTAACCCAGAAAACCTTTGATTGTCTAAGGAAAAACGATGATTCAGCATGCGGTAAATATCTTATTCTGGATAAAAAGTTTAAAAATGATAATATTCCAAATAATTGGACAAATGGATAGACCTATTTCAAATAAGAGTCCAAGTTCTTTAAAAAATTAGTTAAAAAAGAAATGAGAGAATTTTTGCCATTTTTTTCGATTAAAAGGAGGTTTTAAAAGATGGGCCGTTCAAAAATGATCCAATAAATGAAAGGATGAATTTATAGAAATTATATATATAAATATATAGTTAAATAGATAAAATAGCTATATCCAATATAAAAATCAAATAAAATGAAAACCGCCCTACAAGAATTTGTTGCTTTTTTCGCTGGACAAACAAAATTCATTTGAATTTTGAATTATTTCGAGGATTTCATTGTTCTCGTAATAATTAGCAAAGGTTTGTCGTTTTTGTTTTCATCGTTTCGATAGCAAATTATTTTTTTTTAGCAGTTTTCGAGGCTTTAAACTTGAAATCATGAACAAGGCGCCTACTAACACTCAAAGGACGAACAGTTGCACCTTTCAATTTAAAACAATTTTTGTGTATTTTTATTTTTTATGGGGTTATAGACTAAATATAATTAATTTAGAAAAATTTTAAAATTAAAAATTTTCTTCAATTTCCTGGTCAGAACTTTATTTAGATTTTTGTTTTAAAATTGGAAAGAATTTTTGAATGTTTCCAAAAAAACAGATTTTATTGAAATTTTACAAATTTTTGTTAAAAAAAATTGAATTCCATCTGAAATTTGTTTTTAATGAAAAATTATTATTATATAGGAAAAGAGTTTTGTTTGATGTAAAAAAATTAAGAAATGTTTAATGGAACCTTTTTAAAAATTCAAAAATTTTTCAATTTTTATTTTTTGAAAATAAATCAATAAAAAAATATATATATATATATAAATTATATATATATATATATATATATATATATATATATTTATTTGTTTGAAATTTATTTGATAATATATTTGTTATTAAATAATAATGGTTTCCATTTTGAAAATCTATTTACAAAAAAATTTTTCTTATTTTTGGTCATTCTGGAAAAAAAAAGGATCATAAAATCAAATATGATAGTTTAAAAATATTTTTTATATTATTTTTATGATTTTCAATTTTGTTATCATGCTCTTTGAGAAATACACAAAAATTTTATATATATAAATATATAAATATAATATATATAAATAAAAAACAATTTTCTTTAATGAACAAATTTTGGATCCATTTTATTTAAAAAAAAAAATTTAAATAAAAATGGCCATTTTCTTTTATTCTAAAAATATGATATCGACAGATTTTTCTGTAAAAAAAATTTAGAAGAAATAAAAAACTCCGAGAAAAAACTTTTGGAAAAAAAAAATTATTTTTAAAATTTTATTTATTCAAATCAGATATTAAATTGGAATTTATTATATTAAAATTTATTTTTTGAAAGATTTTTCATTTTGAAAAAAAAAAAATTCATGAAAATGATGGCAGAAAAATTGTTTATCTTTTAATAAAAAATGAATCAACAAAAAGTTTATATCCTTTTCAAAAAAAAATTAATTGAATTTTTTCAAAAGAGAAGGAAAACAAATAATGATAAATATATTAAATATATATATTCAATATAAAAAAATATATATGAATGAAAATAAATATGTTTTTGAAAATAAAAAGAATCCATCCAATAAAGATTAAAAGAAATGTGCAGACTCCGCCATTTTCCAAAAATAATTTTTTAAGAAAAATAAATGGAAAAATGATTTAAAAAAATTTTTAACCCCAAATTTTTACCTCTTCCCATCTCAAAAAAGAAACACAAGAAAAATGACTTTTGTAATAATGTTTATTAAACTTATTTTTATTTTAAAAATATTTTTAAGTAAATAAATTAAACATAAAATCTTTAAAAAATAAAAAAAAAAAAGGAATGGAAGAAAGGACAAAAGAATTTTTAAAAATTTTTTTTAAAAATTTGCTGCGAATTGAAAATGGATTAAATGGGGTTTTTTGTAAATATTAAATAAAAAAATATCTTTAAGTTATTTGATAACAAAATAAAAATGAAAAAAATCTTGGTGAAAAGAATAAAAAAATTAAGAATTTGAAGTTAAAAAAAGAATTCTAAAAAGGAAAATTTAATAATGTTAATTGATGTTTAAAAAGGGAAAAAGAAATTATGATGTGTGTTAAAAATAAATAAAAGAAAAATTTTGAAAAGAAAAAATTTTAAAAAGAAAGAAAGAAAGAAAAAAAAAAAAAAAAAAAATGAATAAAAAAAAGAAAAAAAGATAGAAAAAAAAAGAAGAAAAATAAAAAAAATTTAGAGAGAAATATAATAAAATATATAATATATAAAAATAAATAAATAATAAAAGAAAAGAATAGAAAAAAGAAAGAATCTGAGAAAGAAAAAAAAAAAAATAGAAAAAAAAAAAAAAAAAAAATCGCGCAAATTTAAAAAAGAAAATTTAGATGAAAAATAAAAAAAAAAAAAAAAAACAAAGAAAAAATAATAAAAATAAAAGAATGTTATAAAAAAGAAAAAATAAAAAAAAAAGAATGAATTTTAGAAAAAAAAAAAAGAAAAAATAAAACTGAAATAAAAAAAAAATAAAAAATTAATGGAATTAAAAGAAAAAAAAAAGAAAAAATGAAGAAAAAGAATGGTTAGAGAAAAATAATAAAAAAAGGAAAAAAATTTATAAATAAAAAAAAAAGAAAAAGAAATTAACAAAAAAACAAAAAAAAATAAAAAAAATATATATATATATATAAAAATATATATATATATAAACAAATATAGAAAAAATTTCATGATATTTAGAAAATTTTTGTGAAAAAAAAAGAAATAAAAGTTTAAAGAATAAAAAATATAAAGAAAGAAAAGAAAAATATAAAATAAAGAAAAAAAAAAAGAAAAAAAAAATGTTTGAAACAAAAAAAAAAAAGAAAGAAACAAAAAAAGAAAGAAAAAAACTTTTTTTAAAGAAAAAAGAATCAAAATGTTGAAAAAAAAAAAAAAAAAAAAAAAAAAAATTTATTAAAAAAAAATAAAAACAAAAACAAAGTTGAAAATTTCTTATAAAAAAAAAAAAAAAAATAAAAAGTTTTTTAAAAAAGAAAAAAAAAAAAATCTGAAAAAAAATGAAATTTAAAAATATTTTTAAAAAAAAAAAAAAAAATTTTGAGAAAAAAATTTAATGATTTAGAAAGTTCTTTTTATATAAATAAATAAAATATATAACAATATATTTAAAATTAAGTAATAAATATTTATTAAATAAAATAAATATAAAAGAAATGGTAAAATAAATAGATAGAAAAATAGAAATTAAATTTTATAAGAAATGGAGAGGAAAGAAAGAAAAAAAAGTTGCAAAAAAAAAAAAAAAAAATTTTGATGCAATCTTTTAAAAATTCAATTAAAAATCAAAAAAGAAAAAAAAAAAAAAGAAATATTTCTGAAAGAAATGTTAAAAAAATAAAATTAATGAAAAAAAAAAAACTATTTGAAAATAAATAAATAATTTAAAAAAAACAATTAATAATGTTTCAATGAGATTATCAAAAAATTTAAAAACCAGATATAAAAAAAAATATCTAATATTTATAGAGGAAAAATAAATGAAAGACAAAAAAAAATAAATGGAAAAAAAATATAAAATGGAAAATCACTTTAAATTAGATTTTAAATTAAATAAATAAGAAAAAGAAAAATATGGAAAATAAAAAAATTCAAAAAAAGAAAAAAAAAAAAACTTTCTTTAAAATCTAGAAATTGATAAATAAATTAGAAAAATTAGTTTAAAAATAATTTTTTTAGACAAATGAAAAAAAAAAACAATAATTCGAATATATTCTTATATATTTTAAATATATATATATCTCAATGTTTTAAAAAAACTGGAAAAGTAAATTTAAAAATAAAAAAAGAAAAATCGACCTTTAAAAAAAAATTAATTATTTTAAAAGAAACAAAAAAAAATAAATTTATAAAAGAAAAAAAATTTTTTTTTTAGAAAAAAATAATCCAAAAAAAAAAAATGTGAATTTTCAAACATTCAAAAATCGTAAAATTAAAAAAAAAGGAATTAGAAAAAAAAAAAGTTTAAAAGACATAAAAGATTAAAAGATAATAAAAGAATTTCAAAAAATATAATAAATAAAAAATATTTTTTATAAGAATAAATATAAAAATATAAATAAATATAAAAAATTAATTTTACAAATAAAGAATGGTTTTTAAACTTCCAAAATAAAAAAGTAAAAATAAAAATTTATAAATATAAAAATATAATTGATGAAGGAAAAAAAAATATAAAAAGAGGAATCAATTTTTTTAAGAAAAAAAAAAAAAAGAAAGAAATTTTTCAAAAATAAATTGAAAGTTTTTTCCTTTTTCAGACATTAAATAAAAATAAATTAAGAAAAAAAAAAAAAAATTTTTTGAAAATTTTAGAATAAATAAATAAAGAAGTTAAATTGCTTCATAATTTAAGAATTTCAAAAAAGAAGAAACATATTTAAAAAGAAATATTTTATATATTCATAAATAATAATTTAATAATTAAAGAATAAAAATTCAAAAAATATTCAAAGGCATTTATAAATTTCGATTTTTCCTTTTTCAAAAAAAATTTTCAAAAAAAAAAATAAAATTAAATAATGAATTCATCGAATGAATTGAAATTAAAAAAAAATAAAATAACTTGAAGAAATGAAATTAATTGAAAAGAATTTTCAATAAAATAAAAAAAGAAATATCAAATTAAAAAAATATTTGAATGTAAAAAAAAGTTAAGGAAAAACTAGCTTAAATTGTTCGTTTTAAACTTTATAAATTTAACAAAATAAATATATATAAAAACTATTTGAAATTTGAATATATATATATCTGTTTTTTGATATTTATATATAAAAATATATGATATTAAAATCAAAAATATTTGTAAAATTTTCTTAATATATATTTTAAATTACATGAATATATAAAAAAAAGAAGGACTCAACAATTATGAACATAATTTTTGCTAATTCCATTTGGCATATTTTTTAAAAAACTTTATAAATAAAAAAACAGTTGAAAATTTGGAAAAAATCTCCAGAATGTTATAATAATTGAAACATTCTATACCTTTTTAATTGAAAAAATGCCTTTTTCAAAATATTTAATATATTGATAATTATTATATTTAATAGTATAAAGGGAAATATATTAATTTCTTTCATTAAAAGATTATGTCCATTTATAATGTTAAAAAAATTGATTTGTATTCTTTATTATGATTCTACGTTTTTTTTTAAAAATTTATTTCATATTAATAAATTCAGGTTAACAAAATAAATTTATTTCAAAAGACGTTCAAAAAAATAAATTCTATAATCTTTATTAATTATATATTTATAAAACCAACATAATATCTTATAAATATTTATATGTGACAATATATGATGTTTCATTATGTAAATATAAATATTTATGTAAATTTTATATATGGGTTATAAAAAAGCTTGAAACAAAAAAATATTTTTTCATTTGAAAATCAAATCTTTCTGGTTTTTAAATAGTTTAAAATCATTCCTTCCAACAATATAGTTTTTTCATTTTTTTTTTTTTAAATGTCAATTAAAAATATATATAATTGATACAAATCCAAAGATAGCTAATAACTTAACATTTTTCGTTAAATAAAAATTCATGGTATCAAAAATTCATTTTATTTGGATTTTATAATTTTATGAAATGGAAAAATATTTTGATATTTTTTTTTTATCATAACAATTAAATTTGAAATTCTTTTTTTCCTTTGAAAATCAGCATTTTTTTTTACGCAAATGGTTATTATTTTCTTGATTTAATGTTATCAAATGAAAAACGGTTTTATTAAATTTGTTTAGGTAATATTTTTTTTGATGTTTGAGGTAATTTACTTACTATTTCTGAAAAATCTAAAATAAAATTTAAATATAAAAATATATGAAAAGGATATATTTTTTACAGATTTCAATCGGATTTTTTTTTTTTTAGATTTGGGAAAAAAATTTTGGAAAAAATACAGCCTTTCGAAATCAATAAATTGAAAAAAAATTATAAAATAAAAAACAATTAAATTTTTATTTAAATGAAAAAAAAAAAAAAAAAAATTTTGATCTTTTCATTTAATAATAAATTTTTTTTATTTTTAATTTTCAAATTTGACAATATTTTCATAATTTTTAAAAAATAAAAATTTTAAAAAAATATTATCTTCCAATGATTTTATTTTAGAATAGTTAAAAACCATTATTGTTTAATTTTTAATTCAAATGATTTTCTGTTAAAAAGAAATATATTCAAATTAAAAAAATTTTCTTAATTTCTTTTTATTCATTTTATAATAATTTATTGGATTTTTATTTTAAAATTTATAGAAATAAATTGGAATTCATTTGAAAATGGAAATTTAAAATAAAATAATTAAGAAATTTTTAAAAATTGAACCATGATTTAAAAAACTAAAAAATATGGTAAGTCTCATTTTAATAATGATTTGTTTTTGATAAAAAGATAATAAAAATTTAAATAAAAAAATAAAAAAATAAAAAACAAATATTTAAGGTCTGATGATAGAAATAAAAGTTGATTTAAACTGCCAAAGGATTTCAGAGAAACCTAAAACCTGGATTAATAAATGCCATTCGTTCAATCACAAAAATATTCATTGAACATCTGAAAATATTTTTTTTGCCATGTATTAAACAATAACTTGAATTGATGAAATGTCACTTAACAATGAAAATTTTAAATATATATAATATAAAAATATATATATAAAAATATAAAATTCATAATTTCCTTAAAAAATATTTTTTAATTTTTCAATTAAGTTATTTAATTTTTATTTCGATCAATTTTATTTTGTATTTGTTTTTTTTTAAATAAAATTAATAGACAATTTTAAAAATTTTTCGAAAAATTCAATAAAAAATATTTATAAGTTCAGGAATTGAATGATTTTTATTTTTTTTTTTTTTTTAATACTATTTACTACTATATTTTATAATATATTTTAAAATTTGAAAAAAATATGAAAAAAACAAAAAAAAATCAGGAAAAGTAAATCCATTATCCTGTATAAGGATTTTTAAAATTACTAATCCAAAATAAGATCTTTTGGTATATTAAAATTATTTATTAAATTTCAGAAAAAAATATTTAAATTGAAAAATCAATTTTACTCAAAACGATTTATACAAAATATTTTTAAAAGTTAAAAAAATGGAGATTTTTATAAAATAATATAAAGGATATGTTTTTTAATATTTTTTAGTTTTTTACATTATTTAAAAATATATTTGGATTATAAGAATTTAAAACGGTAAAAATAAAATGGTAAAAATTTAAACATATAAATATATT